GAGGTTTTCACTATAGGGTGCGTGTGCTCACCAGACAGAGAGAGACAGAGACAGAAAGCGAGAAATCACCCCCCCAGTGGGGATGACCCCAACGCAATCCCTTCTCCTCCATTCTCCTCTCGGGATCTTGGGCACGCACGCACACGCGCCCGGCATGAGTTTTAAGCCACCGGGTCCGGGACGCCAACCGCAGTCGACTACATGGGAGTCCAGCGACATAGCCATTACGCTAACTGCTGGTTCCCTGGATTTGATATCTTCAACTCTGAGGCAGCTTGGCATTCACTGGTTTCTCTCTAAGCACTTATAATCTGCTGTAGTGCTGTTTGTTTCAACTGCAGAAAATGAGGGTGCTGCCATATGAATAGTTTTCTGATAGGTTTTTATGGTTACTTAAATAAAAAGGCAGAATTAGTTTTGATGCCAATTTATAAGCATAATACACTATCACTATTTAAATACACTAAAAAAATAAGAACATGATTTTGAAAAGGTGGCATCAAGGCATACACAGAGAAAACTTAAATATTAATTTTATGCCCTAAAATCAGTATTAGAAACTGTCTGTAATAGGTGACGTGGTATTAATAGGAAAGAGCATGGATTCTAGAGTCAGACAAACTTGGATTTAGTTCTCTCTGTCAGCACATTCCTTGGGCCTAATTTATCATATATTAACTTATATTTCCTTATCTGTAGCATGAGAATGCCTAACTCAAATTGTAAAGATTTGCCAAGAAATCATTTATATGTAAAGCTTGTTGTCTAGCCAGTTAGGTATACTCAACAAGTGTACATTTCTTACTGCCTCTCCCATATCCCTGAATACCTTCCCAGACGAAAGATGAAATAGTATATGGAAACACTTTCTAGACATAGGAATTTCTTTCATGCATAGCCTTTTAGGTATTGACAGAAGGCATCAACTATTTTTTTCTTTTCTTTTCTTTTCTTTTTTTTGCCAACTCAAGACACTTCTAGTTCCACCATCTACTATTACATCTTCATAAAAGAGAAAATTTTAATACTCCCCAAAAAAGTTTCGCACAATTATATAATCTTAGAGCCACAAACAGTCTATTACAGTGAACAAGCTTAGCTTTTAAAAAAAGTAATTATGCTCCTATTCCTTCTTTGTTGAAAACCCCATCATGGACATGCCGTGGCAGGCCAAGAACTACTGTGCTAGATGAACAATTTAAGCCCATCTTGCATTTGGAGCTCTTTGAAGAGCCATATTGAGCTCCCCTCCCTCCCCCTTCTTACCTTAGCTGAAATGAAAATATTCATGACAGCATAATTTAGCATGCCATTTTCACTGGTCTTCAAATTACATAGCTGGGTAGTAGCTTTTTACTATTTGGGATATATGTGTAACATGGCTATATCCATCCCCCAAATTCCAATTCCAGTTATATAATTTTAGAGTTGGAGGGTAGATTCTCTCCATTGAAGTGAGAAATTATCACATTATATTTAATTACCTTAATTATTATAGGAACCAAAAGTGAAGACATGTTTGGGATTGAATGCTTCTCCATAAGTTTTCAAAAGAAAGACTTTCCCAGTTGCACTGGTTTCTAGGTTCCTGCCTTACTATTCATTAAGTAGATGTGTACAGAGCACCGCTGAGTCTAGAGAAGAATAGGCAACATCCATGTGCCAGAAGATCTTCGTCTGGTGAAGGAGATGGCCACAGAAACAAGTAAGAGGCTTGGAACTATATTGTGTCTATGACTTTAGAAATGCCTCCTTTTCTCCCTAGCCCTTGTCTCTTCTACCCTTCCTAGTGACTCATCTCCTCCCGTTCTGAGGACCTCTTAGCAGCCACTTGATTCTCAGGGTAGGCTTTTTGAATCTACCGTTATAAGCAGCAAGGACATTATGGGTTAAAAAAAGAGTTTATAGATAAGCCATACGTGAGGCAGAGAAAATGGAGCACCCACCATGTCAACATTGTTCCTGGTCTCTGGCTTGCTCTCCCTCCCAGCTGAGAATCATTGTCTTATTTCCTGAAAAATCTTCACTGTGTTCTGTTTTTGGGCTAACTCCATGATTAATAGACTCTTTCTCCCCAACTGCTCTCTTGTCCCCTTCAGTTCCAAAGCTTGGCATTGTTTGTTTTGTTTTGTTCTTTAGATTTGGGTCATCTAGTTTCCTAGGGAACCTAGGCTTCTCCTCTTAGCTACAGCCACTTTTCTGCTCTAGATACATGCGTGTAGAATCCATTCAGGTGGTGGTGCAGCAGGACCAGCATTCAAGATGTATATGGAGATGACTCACCTTAGAGTCCCAAAGAAATAGCATCGTGCAGGTTTTTTAGGGTGGTCGAAACAGATTTTGTTTTTGCATTCAGCTACCCTGCACTGAATTTCTTTTAAGTAAACATTTGTTTTGGAATAACGTTAGATTTACAGAAAAGTTGCAAAGAAAATACAGAGTTTTCATATGCTCTGTAACCAGTTTTTTCCCCTAATGTTAATATCTTATTAGAGGGACCAGCATGTGGCGTGGTGGTTAAGGTGCTGGGCTCCTGCAGTTAGTTGACTTGACTGTGGTTAAAGTCCCGGAACAGCAGCTCACTTTCCCTTTCTCTCTCTGGTCAAATTTTAAAATAATAAACATAAATAAAATTAAATTCTTTTCTTTTTTTTTTTTTGGAGAGGTTTTTCGCTATAGGGCGCGTGCACTCACCAGACATACAGAGAGAGACATAGAGACAGAAAGCGAGAAATCACCCCACAGGGGGGATGGTCACGCAGCAGTCCCTTCTCCTCCATTCTCCTCTCAGGATCTTGGGCACACACGCACATGCGCCTGGTGTGAGTTTTAAGCTACCAGGTCCAGGACGCAAACCGCGGTCGACTACGTGAGAGTCCAGCGACATAGCCATTACACTAACTGCTGGTTCCCTATAAAATTAAATAATTCTTTAAAAAATATCTTATTCGCTTGTCAGAAAAGTCATGACATATTTTTTACGCAAAAATGCATCATGACTTTCTTGACAACCCCAATACATTACCATAGTACATTCATCAAAATGAAGAAACCTAAAGCAAGTACATTATTGTTAAGTAAATGCCAGAATTTATTTGGATTGCACCAGTTTTTCCACTAATGTCCTTTTTTGCATTCCAAGATCCAATCGAGGATACCACATGACATTTACACACATTACCCTTTTTAATTTAAATATACTTATTTTTTGGAATTGTTTTAGATTTTCAGAAAAGTTGGTAAGAATTTCATACCCCTGCACCCACTTTCTCCTACTGTTAACATCCTGTGTTACCATGGTACATTTTTTTTTCTTTTTTTGTAGAGGTTTTCACTATAGGGCACGTGCACTCTCCAGAGATACAGAGACAGAGAGACAGAAAGTGAAAAATCGCTCCCTACGGGGGATGGCCACGCCACAATCCCTTCTCCTCCATTTTCCTCTCGGGACCTTGGACATACTGCACACGTGCCCAGCGTGAGTTTAACCCACCAGGTTCAGGACTCGAACCGCAGTCAACTACATGAGAGTCCAGTGACATAGCCTAACTGCTACTGCTACGCTAACTGCTGGTCCCACCATGGTACATTTTTGACAGTTAAGGAACCGACATTGGTATATTACTGTTACCCAAATTCCACAAATAATTTGGATCTCACTAGTATTTATCTCATGCCCTTTTTCTCTTCTAAAATCCCATCAAGAATGCAACATTATATTTGGTTGTCATGTCTCCTTGGGCTCCTCTTAGCCATGACAGTTTCTTGGAC